CCAGAGCCAAGGCCCCACATCTCAGAGCGCAAAAGCCCAATTTGCAGCTTCTTCCTTGTGAGGTAAAGAGAAAAGTAGAATTTACATTCCAAGTCTTTTCTCTCGAGGAACTAATTTCTGTCTCACATACTTCACAGTGTTCATGCCTAGGGGCTACAGAGAACAAAAGTGAGCTCAACAGCTTGTGCTGGTGCCAGAGAACTTGTAATGCCACAAACAGAAACTGGCACAGCCCGCCACTATAGGGAGTGGGAGCCCAGCTTGTGGCTTTGGGAGTGGAAGGGATGAATGGAACATGTGTCAGAAAAATCCCAGCTCTTCAGAGAGCTTCAGAGAGACTGGTTCACCCAACACAGGTTCCTGATAGAGAAATAGTACCTGGTTGGCCTGAGGCCACAGGGAAAGGCACATGGTTTAGCACTGTGAAACTTGTACTACTACAGATAGACACTAGAGGGAGAAAGAGACTACAAGCTTAAGAATAAACCAGCAAAATTCTGGCGGGGTTGTACACAACAAGCATGGAAAATGTGTCCTTGGGAAAACTTGAGAGGGTTCCAGAATCTACACTGTGGATGACTGTAAAGGTCCTCCCTTGTACAGAGGAATATAAAGATACAAAGACATGTGTTTTTCAAATATACAACTCCAAATACAAAGGTACAAGTCACAGAAAATAATGAGAAAACATGGCCTAATCACAGGAACAAAATAAATCTCCAAAACCTGACTGCAAGTAATGGAGTTAAATGAATCACCAAATTAAGAATTCAAAATAACCATATTATAGATATTCAATCAACTCACAAGAAAACACGAACAGAATGGCAATATCAATATTCTTGAATTTTTTTTAGATAACCAAACAGTGATTCTAAAGCTAAAGAACACAGTAGAATTGGAAATTCACAAGAGAGGGAGTTCGTTAGTAACTTCATTCATGAAAGGGAATCAACAGACACAAAGATGGATCATTGACATTATCCGGTCCGAAGTATAATAAAATGAACATAAAAGGAGAAAAAAACTGCAGAAATTAGGGGACACCATAGACTAGAAAGGTTAGAAATGAAAGGGATGAGTGCTTTTTAGAGTACTTCTTGGGCTCTTGGTTAGATTCCTACTGCTAAAGCAATAAATAAATAAAAATGAGAGAAAGAGAACAGAAAGGAAGCAGATAATAAAAGACTGTCCAAATTAATAGTAGTCAACCATTCCCAAACCTGTGGAAGGAAATGGACATCCAGATGTCCAAAACCCTAGTCGAGATTACTACAAAGAAGCACATGCTAAGAGAAATTATAGTCAAGTTGTCAAAATCAAAGATTGTTGTTGAAGAATTTCTCTCCAGCTCCCGCCACCAAGTCCCACCAGTCCCAGAGCCCACTTATAAAATAAACACACAGACGCTTACATTATTTAAACTGCTTGGCCATTAGCTCAGGCCTATCATTGTCTAGCTCTTACTCTTATATTTAGCCCATTTCTATTAATCTTTACTTTGTCACATGGCTGGTGGCTTACCGGTACTTTACATCTTCCTTGTCCTGGTGGCAGCTCCAGGTGGTTCCTCTTTCCTTCCTCCTTCCTCAATTCTCCTCTCCCCTTGTCCCGCCTATACTTCCTGCCTGGTCACTGGCCAATCAGTGCTTTATTTATATAGAGCGATATCCACAGCACTTCCCTTTTTTTTCTTTTTCAAAAAGGAAGGTTTTAACTTTAACATAGTAAAATTACATATAACGAAACAATTATCACGTAAGAATTACAGTTACAATATTAAAGAAGATATCTATCTTATATTTGTGAGTTTAAGGTTTTACATCTAACTTATCTTTTATCATAACTAAGGAAAATTTTAAGTATCTAGTCTTTAACCATATCAAAGACCTCAGAAGGATATAATACTACCTGAGAAATGGGAAAAGGATGCAAGCAACTTTCGGGAGTCTTACAGGGTAGACAGAGACAGCTGACAGCCTGGACAGTCATCCAACGTTCTCTTGTAAAGTTGGGGCATCTGTGTTCAGCCCACAGGCCTACAGTCTCTCAGTTACTTTTTTCTGTGTCCTGTAGAATGTCTGACGGTTTCCTCTGTAAAGCAAGAACCTGAAGGACCATTTTGTCAAGCAAAGTTCAGTGGTCACCTTCCTATGGGTCCTGCATGTCCAGTTGATCAAGCAGTCTAGGAAAGAACAGTTTCTTGCCCAAATGGCAATTTTTGCCAAGGTGAAGATAAACTCCATATGGAGTGTCTTCGATGCCCATAATCCTCTCTGAAGTAAATTGGTGCTGTCAGAAGCAGACATGTCTCACTGTCCAGAAAGACTAAATCTTTAAAACATTTTGAATGCCATATTCTGTAGGTCTTTGAAGTGTTTGAAGACTACCTATCTATCTGAAATATATTTATGTATACCTAGAAGACTTAACTAACATGGCTACAAATATGATTATCACAGATGACTGATTATTAATCTAGACTGATTATTAATCTATTTTTTAATTATCCATTACAATTTTAAATGAGTTACATAAACATAATACCTCAAACAAGAATAGAAATATATATACAGTATGACAAAATTAAATTTAAATTTGTATCAATAAACTAAAATCTATTGCAATGTAAAACATTTTAAACAAGTTGTTACTCTTTAAAAGTAGGTTCATTAATCTACCCTTTGATCCTATCATATCTAAACTATCCCCTTTTTTTTCTTTAGAAAGAGATTGTATTTATAATCAACATGCTTTAAATAAAAATATTGGTTTTTCTCTGTCCTACACCAGAGGGTTCTTCTGATTTGGGACACAAGAATCTCAA